CTAGAATAGACTCCCCAACAGGTGTAGAAACACAAAAGGGTTCACAAAGTCTTTCAGGAAGAACATCAAACTGATTTGCAACGTAAGGAGTTACAAAAGATAAACTTGCTCCTGGGTTTATCAAAGCATATACATCAAAAGCAAAGACTTTGATCATACCAGTGACAACATTTGGAGAGTTCTCTTGCTCATGACGACTGGTGATTGCATAGAGGCGATTTGCTCCTCCACCGGTACTAGAAGTAGCTCCTCTAGGTGTCGTCCTGTCTGGTGGAACAACTGAAGAAGACTGTGCTCTATTGCCCCTATTACCCTGCCTATTCTTTGGACACTCTCGCATGAAATGTCCATTCTTACCACACTTGAAATAACTAATAGAGCCCTCTCGACAAATACCTGAGTGGTTCCTACCACACTTGGCGCAGGCAGGAGGCTTACTACTCCCTTGCGCCACACTACCCGAAGATTGTGCTGGTCTAGCCTTGAAGTCCTTCGAATTCTAGCCATTATGATCACCTCCGTATCTAGGTGCCGGTGCTCTAGCAGATGATGGAGCAGGTCCCTTTTGCCTCTGCTGAAAGGATGAACGGTTTGAATTACCTTTCTGTTGCCCGGACTCGTTACCGGTCTTAGCTTTCTTATTTTTGAACTCTTCTCTGTCCCTCAGCTTCTCTTCCTCAACCTGCTGCACGTAGACCATCAACCTTGATATGTCCATGTCCCCGATAAGCATTGCAGCCCTACCTTCCTTACTTGACAACCGAGACAGCCCAGCAACAAACAAACTCATTTTATTCCTCATATCCGCAACCATCTCCGGAGCATAGCGGGATAGTTGTGTGAACTTCAGACTGTACTCGTGAACACTTAAAGACTCCTGCTTAAGTGTGAGGAACTCACGTACCTTGGACTCTCTCAATTCTCGAGGAAAGAAATGCCCCAAGAAAGCTTCCTCAAAACAGACCCAACTCGCAGGTGGTGCATTCTCAACCCTGCCCCCTTTCCACTGGTCGAACCAAGTTCTAGCAACATCCTTCAATTGGTACGCAGCTAGTTTAACCCGCTTAGTGTCCGCCACATGCATCACATCAAAATTCTTCTTCAACTCCTCAATGCAGTTCTCTGGATCCTCAGTAGTGCTAGAACCCATGAAACTCGGAGGATTCATCCCCAAGAACTCACGAATCCTTGAAGTGTCAACTCCTTCATGTCTAGCTCCTCTCTGCTGACCAATCTGATTAGTTACAGCTTGGCGCAGAATTCTAATTGCCTCTCTGAACTCGGCATTAGAAACTACCCCTTGATGTTACACTCCCGGGGTATAAGGTAACTCTTGCTCATCAACATAACGTCTAGGAACCGAAAAAAACAGAAAGAACCGACTAAAACCAAAACCGAAAAAACTGACTTTGCGTGGTTTGATTTGATATTTAGATTTAATAAATCGACATAATTGGTTTAGGTTTTTTTTAATGAAAAACCGAATCAAACCGACCTATGTACACCCCTACTTCTAAGTCATCAAGAATCGTGGTTGAGTTCAAAGGTTAGTTTTTTCTTGATTTTATTTTGTTAGCTTTTCGAAGAAAGGAGCAATTTAACTTGTGATAATGGAGGTTTTTTTTCTAAACATGAAGAACAATAATAAAGAAGAAGACAATTGAGTTAATATTTATTTTTTCCAAGTTTATTTTAACACATGACCAATTTTTATTGGTCAGTGCTGTCTAAAAACTGCACCCATGCGCCTAACATAGGTGAAGTGACGGACTCAGCTAGCCACGTAGGCCCAAAAGTGGTAAAAAATTAACTAAAAAAAAGTTCGGGGGGGGGGGGGGGGGGGAGGGTAATAGGACCTTAGTAAAGGTTAGGT